TTACATTTGTGGTTCATATCACACAGTTTCTTTTACAAGTGGTTGTTCAGCTGCATCCTCTCTTATTTGTTGCAATACGACTAGGCTAAGGATTTTCAAGTTCTGGTTCCTTTTAATTTCTTCGATTTATCCCTCTGCATATTTTCTTATAAGCAGTAAAGAAGAGTACCAAGGAGCACCTTCAGCAATCCACTGAGGATTGAAAGTAACCACTGAAAGTCTTCCATTGAAAGTCACCTCATCTTTTTGCAGGTTCTATTCTTTACAAAGTACTAGGGCACAGTTAGGCTTCATTTTGCCATCTTATGAACAAAGATCCTGTTTGCTCTTGCTTGCAGTACCAGAGCTCTTTGTTCCTGCAGAGTCCTTAACATAATAATTCATTAATGCTTGCATTTCTACTAAATTCTGTTTGATATAACACATATTATCTGAGACATGAAGAGCTTGCTCATCAACACTCTTTTCTTGCTATTCTAGAATCGCCTTTAAAAGCCAATTACATACCACATACAGCAAATACATACCATAGCTAGTTGGTTCTTCCCAGCATATACCTTAGAGCTTCTGCATCCTCCATCATCCAATTCCAAAGCTTCCCTCACTTGTCTCAGTGTTTATCTCAGTGGTATCCCACTTCTCAGTATTTAGTCAGATAAGATAACAAAATATCATTGGCTGGACAGGTTGGATCATAGCAATTCATCTTCTCTATTCTGGGTATGTGTTGGGGGGGTCCTCTTATAAGAGATCCTGAAATATCATAGCCACACCTTGGAATCTTCCTTAATTTTGATTACTTTACTTAGAGGTCCATCTTCAAAAACCATTTCTCAGCAGATTTGAGCTTCAAGATATGAATTTTGGGAGGATACAAATATTTAATTCATGACAAAGACTACCGGGGGGGGGGGGGGAAGGAAATCTTTCATTGAGAACAGAAAAATGACACAGCATAGTTAAATAATTGTACACATCCATCTTGTCTGGAGTATCCAAAATCATTAATGCTCTCAAGGAACACATGATTTTTACATGCTAATGGATGTTGTGTTCTAATGGATGCTGTGTCCCGGGTTACATCTAGTGATGTCGTGGTGTGTCTATGTTTGTTCATCTGGGGTTAACATGAAGCAGAGGAGCCTGTTCAGCTCAAGTGAGCAAGGGGGCCAGGAATGACCTTGGGCAAGAATTCTAGGATAGCCAGAAGAATGTGGGCAGGTGCGTCAGGCTGAGAACAAAACAAATGAGCAAAAGAGGCCAGACACCATGCAAGGTGAGTACAGGCCATTGGGAGGAAGCAGCAGCAGCATAGCCATGAGAAATCTCTAGGTTTCTGTGAGAGATGAAACTAGGTCTCTCTGCCTCTTTTGCTCTTATGTTTTAGTTTTTCAGACCATCTCCTCTCCCTGGAGTGGTTCTGGAGTGCACATTTGCTTGTCTAATGGATGCTCCCATCCTAACATCTCACTGGGTAGATGCTGTCCATTGGCCAGGCCTGAAAATGATCTTTAATATCATTGCCTGAGACACTTTACTCCTGGTAGGTCTTCCAGGGTATTGTCCTGGTAACAGTAAGGAGTCCCTGGGGAGGCATGGGACAAGCCAACCTATAATGCTTCTGGACTATAATAATGGGGCCAAGGTTTCTTAGATTTTCCTAGTCAATGTTCAGTACTACCTATCCAGGGATTCAACCTAGTGTAAGCATGGGAGAACCTTAACTCCACTCCCTGCCCTGTAACAGGACATGGCCATCTATCTCTTCTAAACACTCCCCGCCTTTTTTCTTCACCAAAATTTCCCCTTTTGTGGAGAGCAAAATTTGTAAAAGTGGAAAACTCCAGCCCTGACTATTGCCCACAGAAGACAGTAGAAGTAGAAAGCTGTGAAAAAGCAAGGCCTTGCCACACACAGAACAGATAAATAAAATTAAAACAACCCACTGCTTTTAAACAACCCATTAAAGGCAACCTTAAATATTCCAAGCAGATTCTCAAACCACTGTCACCCTCTGAGGTTGGACTTTACAGTTCATGCCCTTTTTCAGAGGTGATGTTTTATGGAAGTTTTAATGAAATTAGCTCATCCAATTTGGGTCAACAAGCACAAACTAAAATCTAATTTCTGTAGCTTCACTTTTTTTTCCTAATCACACAGTTGGAAATGAGTTCAGGAAAATTTTTAGAATTTCTTCTCTAATGTGCAGCTTAAAGGGGCTCACAAAATTCAGAACTCTTGGTTGAAAATTCATAGTAGAAAAAGATTTAAAAGTTATTATCTTGCCCCCAGAAGTCACAACACTCTGAAGAAGTCTGTGGACCCTGAGGATTCACTTCATTTCAACACAGTGAGATCCTCAGGCTGTAGTGATGTGAGCAGACCAGTCACAAGTAGTGGTGCATTCATATCACAGAACTCTGAAAATGGCAGCAAGAAGAGCAAACCACTTCACTTGTAAGTTAACAATTGGGAGTTAACATAGATTCTTGAACTGTCTTGGAATTGGCCAGAAACATCAAGAGCAGATCTCCTCTGGGCCAACAAGCTCTGGCCTGGCTGGCTATATTTACGTCTGTCCAGGGAAGAAGAGACCTGGTCTTGTTCCCTGTCCTAGTTACCTGTCAACTTGACACAGCCTAGAGTCATCTGAGAGGAAAGCCTCAATTTTCAGATTGGCCAGTGGGCATATCTGTGAGAAGTTGTCATAACTGTTAACCCTATAGAAAGGACAGCCCACTGCAGATGGTGCCAAGACTAGGCTGAAGATCTTCAAGTGTATAAGAAAGCTAGCTGAATACTAACCAGTCTTCAAGCCAGCAAGGAGCATCCTCCATGATTTCTACCATGTTCCTTTGGATGTAAAATGAGATGAAGTTAATTTTGTGTGGAAGTTAATTAGTGGGCTTGCCCTCAAATTCCTGCCTTGAGTTGCCACCTGAGCATCCCTCAATGATGATAAACTGTGACCTGGAATTATAAGCTGAGTAAACCCTTTCCTGTCCTAAGTTAATTTTGTCAAAGTATTTTATCATGGCAACAGAAGGAAACTAGAGCACTCCTCCTCTCTGTCCCAAGGTCAAGTATGTGTATATGTGTGGCCATGTCAGTACAAGCACAGAAAACAAAGCCATTTTTAGTTCTGGACAGAGCTTCTCTACCCAGGGCAGACCCAATCAGATCTGAGTGGTCTAGATATGGATGCTACCTTTGATAACAGTACCAATGGAAGCTGGAGGTTGGCTTAGTCACACTTCTTACTTTTAGGCACTTTGCAGAACACAAACACAGAGGCCTTGATTCTCTCCTAGCTTCCCCCACCCACACAAGATCACAATGACACAGCATGTTTGGAAAGATTATCTCAATTTCTTCCCACCCTTAATGCCTTGGAAAAGCACTGAAATCTCAGAGGCAAACTGACTGCAACCTCATTAGAACTGGAAGTTTCTAAGCTGTCATCTCCAGTCTGGATTCACAAGGTAGAGGTTCTATGGGAGAGATTCCTAGGGTAGAGGACAATTCATTCATAAAAGCAATATATTTATGAGTAAAACTAGACAACCTAAAGAGTGAAATGAAAATGTGTTATCACAGCTCCACTGTGATGTGGTATTCAATGTTCACTTCCAAAAGGCTGAGACTATCCAGGACTTATAGGTGCCTGTGTAAGACTTTAGACAGGGTGTCAAGACAGTCAGATATCAAGCACTATGCAGAACTTCCACTTGTCATCCTCCTGATTTACTGGAATGTAAACCCTCATTAGGGCTCCAGGGAACTGCTGAGGCTAGCAAGGCCCCATGCTGAGAACACCTCACCTACTGTAGCAAGAAAGGTTCCTCTTGCTACAGGACACTGAAAGTGGCTCAGCAGTACTGCCTACTCCATCAGAATATGTAACCATGCTGAAACTAACCCATAAACTAACATGAGCACCAGCAACTGGAAACTCTACCTTAAGGATTTCAAAACTCTTTAAGTCTGTCACCTTCGGCTGCCACACAATGCAGAAGCTGCCCAGTCCTATCTATGTTTTCAAGCCCTGTGTGGTTTTCAGTCTTTCAGATATCCAAGGTCCCAAGGAAACCAAAACCTGGACATCTAAGGAAACAAGGTGATGTGGCAGGACATGGGTATCATTCTCAATACAAACCAGTGTGAGAAGCCATGATGAAACAGAGAAAGGGTCCATCTCTGACCACCTACCCTAATCCTTCACAGGCACCTTTTACAATCTTTCTCTCACATAACAAAAGCCACACTGTGCAGGGAAAGGCCAGAGCCCTGCTTCCACTGAGGGTTCAGTACAGCAAGTAGAAAGAATACAAAATATCCCTGAACCTCGAAGGATAGAATCCCAGAAGACAGGGCTTGACAGGCTGTAGAGGGCAGAAAAACTTGCTAGAAAATGGTGGTAGGGGATCAGCCTGGTTGCCACAGCTTATAAAGCTGTTCCAGAGGCACTCTGTGGTACCCAAGGTAGCAATATACAGAAAACAAGGCTAACCATGGACACTAGGCCTTTTGCCTGTGGCAATCCTACTCTCTCACAGAGTAGATTTATTTCCTAAAACCTCCAGCCCCTCCCAGCCACCCTGGATCTGGGCATGACTCCTTTATTTCCTGGAGTTTCCCACCCCTAAAGCCGTCCAGCCACTGAGCACTTAGAGAACCCAGGACCGTCCTAGTAAAGTGAGTAGAAACCCTGAAGCTAGAGTGTTGCTGTTATCCTAGAGCCAGTGGGATCTCAAAGACGGGTCAGCCAACAACCATCTGAGTTTAGCATAGACGATGGTTGCATAACACGTTATGTACATGTCTGATTACAACTGGGCCTGAGTCAGAACCGTCTGGATCCAGGTACACCCAGGTAAGATCCAACAGAGCACAGGAGAAACCCAGCTAGACGAGGAGAGCCCAGATCAATTCCAGTGGACACAGGTGGTACAAGTTAGACTTAGGCTCAATTGAACACAATGCACAGGTGATAGTCCTACCTTGGAAGAAGCTCTTCACTCTGAGGTAACTAACGCTGAGCCGCAGGACAGAAAGCTTGTCCAGCTTGGAGATGATGTCAGGTGAAAATGGCAGCAGACTAGCCAGGTGGTCCAGCTCTGTATTGAGGCGGTCCCGGTGCCGTTTGGAAGGATTTGATTTCTCAGCTCCCATGGTAAGCCTCCTGTGGGAAGAAAGCCATAGTCATATAGGTTCCTACCAGGAACTATTGGCCCCACAGACAAGAAACCACTCTCTGTGGTGACCTCACTAGCTGCTGCCTAGACAGACTATGCTTATAAGAATTAGAGATAACTTTTTGAAGAAAATGACACACTAGTAAGCTACAACCTGATATTTAGAGAAATGTGAGAAAAGTTTCAGGCAAGGATGAAGGTTGTGGCTACTGGCTGTGGGGCTCCAGTGCATTTCTCGGCTTCTCTGTGCCAGGTTTCTCAAGAAAGGAGGATACCTGGATAGGGTTGTCTAGGCAAGAATGTGCACAGGAAATATGCTTTTATCTGACTTCCTTCAAAGTCTCACAATACCTAACCCGAACCTAATATACTATAGGAAAAATAAAAGTTCCCTTACTAGAAGGGTGATGGCTTCCTGACCCCATGGTCAATGCAAACAGTTCTTGGTCCTTTTCATTCCTAGGGCAATGAATTTCAGTTTGACTTGTAACTGAGAGGCCTGAGAAGCCTGAGAGTCCAAACTCCTAGAAGAGGACTCCAGGATTTGGCAGACAGCAAAGACAAGATCTCAAAGTCAAAGTCTCCAGAGCCACAGCATCTGGAGGGTCAAGCAAGATCTTTGCCCACCATTCCACATAGCTCAGGAAACCTGCTCATCCATAGACAGTTTCACCTGGCTTCAATTACATGCCTGGAGAAAGAGACTTCAGCATCCCTTCATCTAACTTCTTAGGACTTCCTCTTCTAATCCTCTTAATTGTGGCACAAAATGACCCTTCCTGATTCTTTATTCAGAGCACTACCCACACTGAGCCTATAGAAGAGACAGCAGCTGCCAGAGTGAATCCAGTGTTGGAAAGGACAGGAGAGCAAAACAACCCATTATTGGCAGAACTGTGGAAAGCATCCACCTAATTCAGAAGGCCAACTCTTTCAGGGGTCTCAGGGAATCTCAGTATTAGAGGAGTAGCCCAATGACCCAAATTCCCAGTTGTCTAATAGTCCCTGGCAGTAACAAACTCAGGAGCTGTTCCTTTTTAAAATAAGATGTTTCTCACACAATATAATCAGTCATTTAAACATGAACAACCTCCTTCATTTACCAGTCATGACATTGCAAATCTCTTTCTGGTGTTGATTTTTAATTATCCAAAGGGAAGCTCCCCTGTCATGTGCATTTTCTCCTAAAGTTCTTCCTTTGTTGTCAGAAACTGCTGGCTTGCTTTCTACCCATGTGGATCGAGTTGTGAGTATTTCATCTGATTGTACAGGAACATGAATAATGGTGCACCCAACTATCTTCACAAAACAGGGTGCTTCCACAGCTCATCCACATGTAATGTGTATGGTTGCTTCCTCATTCTTTTTTATGACTGCACAATATTCAGCTATATAGATGGACCACGTGTTATTAATATTTCACCAATTAATAATGCTGGTGGTTTTCCATGTATAATCATTGTAAATATAGACACTCTGAGCATCCACTAGGAAGAGTTTGCTTGGACATGTATTTTAAATGTAGACACCCAGGCCAGAATTACTGGATCTGTATAATTCTATGCTTAATATTTTGAGGAATCCCCAAATCAGGCTGCATTATACATATTTGCACCATTTCACAGACTCACCAGGAGTATACAGGGCTACAATTTCTCCACATGCTTATCTGTGCCTGTACAGTTCCATTTTTATTATAGCCAGTGGATATGAGGTAATGTTTTCTTGTAGCTCTGATTTGTACTTCTCTGATTATTTATCATGCTATGACTATTCTCTTGTGCTTGTTCATTTATATATCTTCTCTGAGAAATGACACTCTAGTCCTTGGAAAATTTCTAATTAGTCAGCCTTTTGGTTTTGCGTTGTAAGAGTTCTTTGTATGTATATTAGGCCTTCATCTGATACATGATCTGTAAATGTTTTCTTTTCTCTGTTGGTTGTCCTTATCTGTCTAGTTCTAGTCTTATTTTACATTGTCAGCCAAAACTGAAATAGACTGGCAAAGAAGGCCTAGCGCAATCTCACAACCTGGCAAGTGCCCACTCTGCAAATGACAGACACCTGAGGAATCCACACAAAACAAACAGGACATCTGATAGGCAAATAGGGGTAGGGTTACAGAGTGGAAGAGAACCATAGAGGTCTGAGTAGTGAGAGGAGACAGCAGAATTAGGGTGAGCTGGGACATGTCTAGGGACTTGGTCTATATAGGGTCCAAAGTAGTGTCTCTACCTGGTGATGGATCCATATGGGGTTGTGTGCTCAGAGGTCAGGTCTGTCCTCTTTACCATAGTTCTGGGTCCATCCAAGGACATATTCAGCCTGAAGCATGGACCTTCCTAATCATGGTCTCCAACTCGTTTCTTCAGAGTCTGGGAAGTCCTCAGCTGATCAGGGGCTCCCTAAGTTATAAGCCCTGCTTACTTTTAACCTCTATCTAGTTCTAAGGTAGAAGTGTCCTTGCCTCTCTATGAAGGGTGGTGCCTACACCAACTCCAGCCCTGACTATCAGATCTTTCTATACAGAGTACATGAAGGGTGCTGCCTATAGTAAGCTGGGTTCTTGCACTCTAAGCCTCTCTATCAGGCTCAAAGTGAGGCACTGCCCTGTGGAGTAGTTGTGCCAGGTCTACAGTCCATTTTCTTTCCTCCTTTGGCTCCCAGGACACATAGACACCTGTCACTGCTGTCTATACTCTGCATTCTACTTCCAAATATCAGCTCCATGGAGTAGGTGGGCGAGAAATGATAGATAATGGAAGGGGGGTCTAGAAAGCAAACAGACCTCTGGGCTTGTGATGGGTTCAAATCCAGGGCAGATTTGGAGATAGGGTAGAATTCCCACTAACTCGTGGGAAAGAAACAGCAAGAAGTGAAGAGTAGTGGTTTGCCTAAGATGATCAGCAGCACATAAGCAAGAAACAAGAGGTAAGAAGCAATTAGTTAGCTCCACTGGACAGAGTCGCAAAAGAGCCCTTAACACCAATAATACGGAGTACTGCAGATTAATTTAATGAGAGGTATCCAGGACAGTTGGACAGAACAAAAAAGCATTGTTGATAAAAATGTAATGCACATAAGTAAATGGAAAGATATATCCGCTCTTTATGTTGGAAAATGCAATGTTGTTAAGATGTAACTTACTGACCCCAAACTGACCTACAGATTCAATGCCAACAGGGAGTAGGAAATTAATTCTCAAGTTTACATGAAAAGTAAAGGACCTAGAAGAGACAATTGTAAAGAATACGCCAGGAGGACTTATCTCCTGATTTTAAGCCTTCCATAAAGTTCCAATATTTAAGATGGATTAGTATTAGAGAAATGAGAAATATGAATCAGTGGAACAGAATAGAGAATCTACAAATAGACCCGTCAATTAACTAGATCAACATACTAAGGCAGCTCACAGGCTGCTCAGTCTACTGGATATTCATACAAACAGTAAATGCCAGCACTTATGTGACAGGGTACCTCAGGATGAATTCTAAATGAATCACAGACTCAAATGTAAAACCAAATATAAAACTTTACAAGAATCTTTCAGACTTTTGGGTAATCACAGGCCTCTTACAACACACACACACACACACACACACACACACACACACAAAATTTTGAGGGGAAAAAAGAAAGCAAAAAGCAGATAAAAAAAGAATCAAGGAGTTTAGTATTACAGCTTGCATGTTGTCATGAGATGAAGACACTGTCCCTGGTGAAGACTCAGCAGTCTTCCAGGAAAAGACGTGGTGCACTAAGCATGCTGCTGATGACACCAGGCATTCACTCCTGGGAGAAAGTTGTGGATTCAGAGATACCCATAACTACTGGGCGACACCTAGGGTTATGAAGAAGATAATTCTGATAGCTGAACATTCACAAATTACTTGCCACGTATAGCATAGCAGGTGGCATGAGCATCAGGCTGCCTGTGTCATTTATCCATATATTTATGTCTTCCAGAGACAGGTGAATAGGTCTTGACTGATGTGTGCTGCAGAGCTACATTATAGCTGGGGAACACAGAGCTTAGTGGACAGCAAAGGACTGAACTGACACCCTTGGGAGAGCACACTTCATATACTCAGACTGTGTAGCAGAGAAAGTGCAGGCTACGGCACAGACTCTGAGGTGTGCAAGTCTGTATACAACATGAGCACATACAGAAGGAGAAGAGACACACATCACATATACATCTCAGGAAGCATTCACAGACAACGCTAAAACCAGATGCTTGTTGAAAGAGGACAGAGTGTGGAGACATTCTCCTGAGTTGTGAACCAGGAAAGCATTCTTTTCAGAGCATCCAGAAATTAAATACTAGCAGTATTTAATTTAGTCGAGAGGCAGAAGCAGGCAGATCTCTGTGATTTTGAGGCCAGTCTTGTATATATAGTGAATTCTAGGCCCTTCAGGGCTACATAGTGAAACCCTGTCTCAAAAACAAATAAAATAAAATTTAAGTATTTGATGTCTCTAACATGGCTTCACTGTTTGAGTAAAAATATTATGAAGGCAAAAATTTCAGATCTGCTCTCTTCTATACTGTCCATCAGATACCACTGTTTCAGCTGAGTGACAACATTATTTTCTGTTCTTATTTACATGACAAACGTAATATAAACAAATCTAAATCTCTGTCATAGAGGAGCACATTTCTATGCTTACTCTCATGGGCTTTATGTCTTCTCAGTGCACTCAGCTCCCCCGTCTCCCTCAGCACTCCTCCCTTATCAAAAACCTATATCCCAGCCTACCTCAAAGCCTCACTGTGGTGGCTCCAATCTCTAAATATCCACCTTCAAAGTCCAGCCTGACACTCAGGGTAACCTCAGCTTTCATGCAGTCCTTGGGACCACAGGGTCATAAATCTTGTAGCCCTGGAGGCCAACAGGAGTAGCTCTGTCACATACAAAGAGCGCACACCTAGAAAGAGCCACTAGTGGGTGCCCCATTCACATTCTGCTGCACTCCAGCCTCAGGTACAGCTGCACCATACACACAGCTGTATCACATACCCAGAACACCTATTCCAAACCAATCTTCCCCTTCTCTTCCCCCTTTCTTATACACACACACACACACACACACACACACACACACACACACCAGTCCATGGCTGGTGATGTGCACATCAGATTCTATACCATGAGCTAGAGGTAGCCTATGGGCCTTTTGTGAAAGCTGTAACTCAACTGATTTCCAAACCCTGGTATTTCTAGAATCACCACACACTTCTCACTTTGACCACTCTGAGGGTTTCAAGTTAAGCCCAGGACAAACAAGAAGACAATTGTGTCCCTGAGGGACATGGATCAGAGCCCTGAGTTCCCCATCTCTATACCTTCAGATACCCTTAGGTGAGGATAATGAGTCCCAAAGAGCCTCTGTCATTTGGAGCGTAAGGACTAAACCCTGGACACTTTCCACAGACAGAATGACTCATTGCTGAAGGAAACAAAGGTTCCAAACATATTGGTGACATCCCTCACCCAAATGAGATCTCCAGCAATTCCAGCCAGTGTTTTCTGTCCTGGTCAGAAAAGCTGCCTAAAGTAAGTTTCCCTGCTAAAGAAAGCCAGAGACAAGTCACTCTTACATGAGATCCAAAGGCCGCTATGACCATGCCTTCCAGGAAGGTTCTCCAAAGCCTGCCTTAGACTATGTTTGCCTGTAAAACTCCCTCTCCTCATAAAGGCACAAGATGTCCCTTATTCCCCAGGGATATCAGGATGATACTCTACCGCTTCTGAATGGGTTTCCTTCTCTTCCTACCGGCATATGTACACTCTCCTGATGGAATCATCATCTTTGATCCTAAAAGAGAAAGGATGCATTGAGTCAATCACATGAAGAGACCCAACATGACATCACTACATGTGGCTACTATAGTGACCCCAAAGCAAGAAGGTCGGTCAAGATCCACTGGGCTCACTACTATAGATAGTATAGATAGAGCTATAGATACTCCTACAATATAGAATGGGTGATGGTCTGTAAGAACCCCTCATAGTTTTACTCCAAACAGAATTGTTACATAGTTGGTGAAGCAGGGTGCATACTACTGAGCCTCAAGAAGCTATTGCATTCAGAGCCATACCACCTCTCCCTCCTGTACCCGCAGGCCCATAGGATTAACAGGTCCCTACTTATTTGTGTATTATTTCTTCTTAATCCTCTGTGCTGGACTTCCACTACTGTCACTCATTCTCAGCCATCTACAGTCCAGCTAGCAGGGTCCTGAGGTGCTAGGCACGTGCACATGCCTCCCACAGAAGTCATTGACGAAGTCCAAGACCTGCACTTCAAATTTGACAGCTTCACATCCCCTCATAAAATATAAGTACCCTCTTTCCTATTGTAGAATCTTGATATTTCTAGTAGTGAAGGCATCTGAACCTTCACAGACTCCCTTAGATCCCCGTTTCATTCCCCAGTAGCATGAGAACGGATATAGGTATCCTTGACTTGACCTCATTTATGTATTATCTGGAAGAGATGTCATTTCTGCCTCCCTGAAAAAGGCTGTGAAAGTGTCAGAAGTATGAGATTGATCTCCTTTGAGGATAAAGAGAGGCAGGCAGAAAAAAAGAGGATTCATAGAATAGATGTTCCATGCAAACACTAATCACTCATTCTGGAGTAGCATGCAAGGTGTAAAACAAAAGAATGTCACCAGAGACAAAGAAAAACTAACAAAATTGCCAGTCTTCTAAGAAAATGTGGTGATCCTAAATGTAGACACACCCAACAACTAACACAGTTAAGAAAGTGAGTGGTTCATCCCAGGTACCCATAATCCACTCTTGGTGATCAATCAGTACAGCCCAGCACAAACAAACAATAGCTGACTCAGGGGAGCTACAAAACACCTTCAACACCACCAGAGTACACGTCAGCTCTGTGCATATGGAACATCCACCAAGATAGACTTTACTGTAGGACTTATGTAATCCCTAATAAATGTAAAATAACAAAAATCATACAAAGTATGTTCTCTGATATGATGGAAATAAACAAGAAAGACATCTGGAAAACTCTCAAATGTCTGGAAGCAAGGAACTCATAATTTAAAAAAAGTTTATAAATGAGTGAAAATAAAAATACAAACATATATCAAACTTTGTGAGACAGAGTAGTAAGTACTTGTTTGGAAAATATCAAATAAATAATCTAAGCTTCTAACTGAAATAACTAGAATAGAAAATAAACCTAAATCAAGCAGGGAAGAAACAAGGAAGAGAAGATATGAAGAAACTTAAAACATAAAAATGAAGAAAAATCAATGAAAATAACAATTGATTTTTAAAAGATCTACAAAATTGATAAACCTTTATCCAGGATGATCAGAAATTTTAAAGATACAGACTAGCAGAATCCAAATGAGGGAGGACTTACCACAGATCCCGTAGACATTAGGAAGGCTATAAGAGGATACTGCTATGAACTGAACTATGTCTCCCAAAATTCATATGTTAAAGCTGAAATTCTCTGCATAGATATGGGACATGAATGAAGGTGAAGTGAGGTCATTTGGTAAATCCTGTAGTTCCAAAGAGTTGTGCTCCTAGGAAGGAGCAAAAGTCACTGGGGTTCTTTCTCTCATCAGTTCATGAGGATAAAAGGAAAACAAAGCTATCCACCAGCCAAGAAAATACTCTCACCAGAAACAGAGTTGAATAGCATCTTGGCCATCAATGTCCATCTTCTAGAACTGTGGGAAAGGAAGTTCTGCTCTTAATCTACCCATCTGTGATAGGTTATCCAAGCACACTAGGAAAAATATTAAATAATTTCCCCATAAATTCAACAACTTAAATGGAGCAGTTCCTTCAAGGACACAAACTATTAAAACTCACTCAAGAAAAATAAATAACATAGATAGTTCTATATCCTAACAGAGAAAACTCAAGCCCAAATAGCTTCCCTGATATAGTCAACTAATTTAAAATATAAATAAAACTAACTCTGGGACTGGAGAGATGGCTCAGTGGTTAAGAGCACTGACTGCTCTTCCAGAGGTTCTGTGTCTGAAGACTGCAACAATGTACTCACATATATAAAATAAATAAATCTTTAAAAAAACTTAAACAGACTAACTCCATTGCTTATGTGAGAAAAACTAAAAACTACTCATGTGTGAGTTCAGCCTTGTTCTGCTACCAAGGCAAAGACATTACAGAATAAGAAGATCTTAAGTCAGTACCCTTCATGAACACAGAAATCCTCAATTAAATATTACTACACAGAATCCAGCAATAAAAAATGCACCAGACCTCAATGAAATTTCTCCAAAGAATTCCATTTTTTTTAATTCTCAAGAATCAAGCATTACAATTCATTACATTACTATTAATAAATTAAAGAAAAATATGATCATTTTAATACCTACAAAAATCATCTGGCAGCCAGGCAGTGGTGGTGCATGCCTTTAATCCCAGCACTTGGGAGGCAGAGGCGGACAGATTTCTGAGTTTGAGGCCAGCCTGGTCTGCAGAGTGAGTTCCATGGCAGCCAGGACTACACAGAGAAACCCTGTCTCGAAAAACCAAAAAAAAAAAAAAAATCATCTGGCAAAATTCAAATCCATTTATAATCATTAAAATCCTCACTTAAAAGTATGTAGAGAAGGAGGCTGTCATGACCTTGATGAAAAGCATCTCCAAAAACCAAAGTCCTAATGGTGAAAGACTGAGTCCTCCCCACAATCAGGAACAAGCATACATCTTGTGTTTCTTTACTCCTATCACACATTACATTGCAGATTAGTCAGAGAAACAAGGTAAGAAAGAGAAATAAACTTAGGAAGGAAGAACTCTAACTTCATGTCTTCACAGACAATGTGATATTCCATATAGAAAATCCACTTTTGAAGAACCTCCTATAATCTGGGCATGATGACACATGCCTTTAACCCTAGCACTGAGGAAGCAGAGGAAGGCAGATCTCTGAGTTTAAAGCCAACCTGGCTTACATAGCAAGTTCTAGGCTAGTCAAACTACTAAAGTGAGAGTCTGTATCAAAAACAAGCAAACAATCTTCATATAATTAACCATTAAGTTAAGCAAAGTCAAAGAGTAAAACGACTCTATGCAAAAGTTAATCATACAACTATATCCTGGCAATGGAACTTAATTATTCAAGTAATGGCATTTAAAATAACTTCCAAGTAAAAATAAAATAGATATTTCTAAAGTCTTGACATGTGTAAGTGGACTTTTAAAGAACAGGAAACATTAAATGAATACCAGAAAAAGTTAACACAATGAAAACCATGAACTACGGATCCAAGAGGCTCTGTGAAATCCAAGCACAAAAAAACATGAGGGAGATTACACTGAAGTACTTCATATCCAAGTTATTCATAATCAGTGGCAAATATAATAATTTTAGTTTCCAAATACTATAGTATTTGGTAGAATAAAATATAATAAAGGACAGCAACAGGCTCCTCATCATAGAAAATACAAGCAAAACAATAGGGAGCAACAAAACTGAAGTTCTTAAAAATTACATAACCTAAAGTCTACATATTGTAAAAGTGCCTTTCAAAAATCTTTTTTCTTAATTCTTGAAATGAGGGGCTGGATAGATGGTTTAGTGGTTAAGAAAGCTGATTTTTCAGAGGACCAAAGTTCAGTTCCCGGTACTGTTGTCAGGAAGCTCACAACCACCTATAATTTCAGTTCCAGAGGATCCAATGTCCTCTTCTGGCTTCTGCTGGCACACACACACACACACACACACACACACACACACACACACTTTTAAAGCTAAATAAATAAAACAATTTAAGCAACTATAATGATAGTATATTGTGAGATTTATGAGATGAGTGAGATGTATGAGATGGTATAGAAATATTGGGCAAAAGTACTGGCTATCCATCTCCAGTTTTTTAGGTTCCAAGTCACCTTTGCTTGCCTTCTCTGCCTGAAGATATTGGGACCTTGGAATACTTCTTTGTAGAGTGAGCATGATGTTACACCTGCCAGGAGAGGGCATCAGAGGACCCTGGAAGAGCCAAGAGTCCTTTTTAGGTTCTGGAACTAATTTTTTCTCTTAGCTCTTAGCACTACAGAGGCTAGAAAACTCAACAATCTCCTTCGCTCTCTGGAGGGTAGAATTCTATCTCCCCAAAGGCTTGAATCCCATCTCTGTGAAGGAAATATCCCTAGGCACTCTCCCTCTATACTAGGATACTCTTCTGAGCTCCCTTGTTACCTTTATAGTTAGTCCAGTGTTACAGTTAATACTTAATATTAAACTTAATCAAATTCAAGTTGAAGATTACTTAAGTCAAACTAAGAAATGATTATTTGTGGAAACACATACACAGAGAAAGAGAGAGAAAGAGGAGGGAGGGAAGGGAAGGAGGAAGTGGGAGAGAGAGAGGGAGAGAGAGAACAAAGGATTCACTTCTATATATCTGTCCAGGAGGACAATGAAGTCTAGATGACTTGGTTGAAAGAATAAGGTTCAAGTGAAGCCATGTCTGCCAGTATTGACAATTAATCATTTGTGCTGGTTCGTGAACTTGAAATTATAAAAGGCTTGGAATTGTCCTTAATAGAAGGTGTAGAAAAGGCCGTCTGGAGACCATTCCACCTGGATATCCATCCCATGTACAATCACCAAAGGTAGACGCTGATGTGGATGTCAGGAAGTGCATGGTGGCAGGAGCCTGATATAGCTGTGTCCTTAGAGGTCTGCCAGAGTTTGACATAGTCAGAGGTGGATGCTCACAGCTAACCATTGAACTGATCAAGGGGTTCCCAATGGAGGAGTTAGAGTGAAGACTGTAGGAGC